GCCCACAGTTTAGGGTTTTCAGGAGTGCAGCCACAACTGCAGCATGTTGACCATGCTGGAAGTCCCAGGTCCAGTCTCTGCCAGCATCTCTTTTGGTTACAGGGCGAGGGAAAAAACTTAGAAAGTGTGTGATGGAGCACATGTCCTTCTGTTAGATGGACAAAGGGTCCCACTTCCATTGAGACAGTGTCCCATCTTTCTCAGTTGGGTGCTCCTGTTAAATCCGACCTTGGCTTCCCTCTCACCAGGGGATCTAATGTTCTGTTTTGCATTCTAGAGGAAAAGAGCACAGGATTCCGACTGAAGCCCCCAACCCTCATCCATGGCCAGGCACCCAGCGCAGGTAAGCAGTTTCCTTGGTTGGCTGGATTTGTGCCTGTGGTAGGTGAGGACCAGCCCACTGCTTTGCAATTATATCAGCAGTGAGGCTGGAGTTGCTTTGGAGTTTGTTCTGGAGAGGACTCTCAACACCCATGTGCAAGCCCCTCTGTCAGGAGCAGCTCAGGGCTTCCCAAGTAGCCTGTATCCTTGCTCATGCTGCAGCACATACTTTGGATCTGATCCTCTGTAGCGGGTGGGATGTTGGTGATGTGGATGTGGGAACTTGGTATAATTCAGGTCCAGTGAGGTTGAGATTCACTGGAATTGCTCTGAGTTCTTCTGTAAGGCTAGTCTGGGATGGAAGGGCTCTGATCAAGATGGTCTGCCTGAGGGGCTGATGTATCGGAGGGCTCTTGGCAAGTGGTCCTGTTTAAAGCATGGTTGTCTCTGAAATGGGCAGACTCGTGGGCTTAAGTAATCTCTTCTCATGGTATGGAGCTGAGTGAGCCCTCTAGGGGTGATGATATGTGTAGTGTCAGGACTAAAATATGGATGATAGAAAACTGAGAGCAAGTCCAGCTGCACATGAGCTGGAGCTCAGAGGAAGGCCTGCTTCACAGTGGTGATGGTGACAGCAGCAAAGAACTCCTTCTTCTCTGCCACCATTGTGTTTCCTCAGAGTTGTCTGCTGGACCTGTCTTGAGCGGTCAAGGAGCAGTCAAGGACCTATTGCACTCTGTGCCAGAAGAAGAAACCACAAACTACTCTGTAACCCACTGTGCAAATTTGCATGACACTTTACAGACTGAATTGCTTGGGTTCACTGGGACATCATCATCATCATCATCATCATCATCATAATGGTTTTATTTCTAACTCGCCCCTCTGCAAAGCAACCGGGGCGGCGTACAACAGATTTAAATGATACAAAGATAAAACACATCACCAAATACCCCCCGAACCCTCCCACCCCTTAAAAATAGATTAAACTAAAATGGTATTAAAAACAGCATCAGACAGTAAAATCATAAACAAAACAAATAAACAATAGCAGCCAGGGGTAAGAGAGCGGAGTAGTAAACCAGATCATCTAGGAAAAGAGCTGGGAGAATTACTCCAAGAAGGCCTGTCAGAAGAGATCTGTCTTTACTGCCTTTTTAAAGGCAGCAAAAGTAGTTATAAGACGGATCTCTTCCGGCAGGCCATTCCACAGTCTGGGAGCGGTTGCAGAGAAGGCCCTCTGGGAGGTCTGCGAGAGCCTGGTCTTCATGGGCTGCAGCAGATTCCTCCCAGAGGACCGGAGCACGCGGGGGGATTGTACAGGAAGAGGTGGTCCCTAAGATAAGATGGACCCAAGCCATGTAGGGCTTTAAAGGTCAAAGCCAACACCTTTTACTGTGCCTGGAAACTAATTGGCAGCCAGTGGAGAGATTTCAACACTGGTGTGATATGCTCTCTCCTTGATACACCAGTGAGCAACCTGGTTGCCAAATTTTGAACCAGTTGGAGTTTCCAGGTTAGGCAAAGGCACAAGCCCCATGTAGAGTGTGTTACAGAAATCCAAACGTGAGGTTACCAGAGCATGTACCGCAGTTTCCAGGTCTGTAGACTTGGATGCTGGAGTTGATACAGACCCGCTGGATGTAACTTTGCTTTCTGCTTGTCCTTTGTTGGTGGATATCTTTCAATTTGTGCTGCCTGGGCAGGATCCTTGAAGCAGTGAGAGCCATTATGTGTCTGCTGGATCTGTACGCTTCCTGGCTCATTGAAGCAGCCAGAGGGGGGCGGGGGGCTGACAGGTGGATGAGTGAGGGAAGTAGTAGAGGATGCCTCCCTGCGGCAAAGTAGGGTTCCATCCTGCCTAAAAAGGGCTGTGGTGAGATCCTCACTGAAAAAGTCCTCCCTGAGCCTGACTGCACTGGATGGTTACTGGCCAGTATCCAATAACCAAGGTCCTGGTGGTCTCCCAGCTCCTAGATGAAACCTAGCATCTCAGTCCATTTCAGTTTGGCTTTATGCCCAGTTATGGAATGGGGAGGGCTTTGACAGGTGACCTGCACCAGAATGACTGGAGGGGATGTTTTCCCTTTGGCTTTTTTGGACCTTTCCGTGACTTTGGGTACCATCATCCCCTGGAGTACTCTTTTGGGCCACCTCACTGGGGTGGGACGTGGAAAGGGAACTGTTCTGCAGTGGCTTTCTTTCTGAAGGGGCAACCTTGGAAGGAAGTATGGGGGATTCCTTTCCAACACCCCACTTGTTGGTCTGTAGAGTCCCTCAGGGTCCAGTGGCACCACCTGTAAAGCTACCAGGAAAGATTTCTAACATTTGGGGGTTTGGTGCTTTCAGTATGCCGAGGACACCCAACTCTCCTCTTTCTATCGGATCAGTGTCTGGTGTCAGTCTTGGACTGGATAGAGATGAACACATTGAAACTTAATCCAGGCAAGATAGGGGTGCTCCTGGTGTCAAAAGGTAGCTTGGAGGATAGGGATTCAGCATGTGCTGGATGCACAGCCCCTGAAGGCACAGGTTGGCAGCTTGGGCTTGTTGTTGGACTCCGCCCTGAAGCTAGAGACTCAAGTTTCTGCATGCTTGTACATTTAAGTCTAGTGAGGCAGGTGTTTCTATAATATGTGGCTGCCAGTCTTTGGAAAACGTTTAAAAACTTCACTAATTTGAAAATGCTACAGCTGCACTGCTGATCAGGGCTAGTTATAAGGAACATGAAACATACATGTTACAACAGCTCCGCTGGCTACCGATCTATTTCCGGGCACAATTCAGAAACCTATAAAGTCCTTTGAGTATTAAAATATATTGGGGGGCTTCGATATAATGGAAATGGACAAATTATCCGGTTTGATTAAGGGCAAAAACGAAGAAATATTTAGGTGTGATTGGCAAGGTGTGATCGAACACTGGAAACAATCAGGAGTATTAGTTAACACAATAGGTTTGGATTAAAGATGAATACCAAATAAGAGTAAAAATGAGAGCTGCAATGATACGCCAAATCGAAGATAAAGTCATGTTTAGTGGAAAGTTTATGATGGAATATAAAAAGTGATAAGGTATATATAATGTATGATGTATGCTGTTAATTGATGAACATTATAGAAGTAAAATTATTTCGGGCTAAATTGCAAGATAAGCCAAGTTTAGGAAGTGTTTTTAATGTTTATGTTTGTTAAATGTGTGTGTAATTTGTATCTTATATCTGTATTTTTTGGGGTTTTTTTATGTTTTATGTTATGTCTTGTTTTTTGTCTTTTTGTTGTTTTTTGTGTATTTTTATTTACTGCTTTTTTAATCAATAAAATATATTTAATTAAAAAATATATTGGAGAGAGTACTCTATGGTGAACTCGCCACGGGTCAGCGTAAGAGGGGCGCTCCAAAAAAGCGATACAAGGACTCCCTGAAACAACATTTCAGGCTCGGCCAAATTGATCACCAACAATGGTCCACCCTGGCTTCACATCGGGAGGCATGGAGACGCACTATCCACAATGCTGCAGCCTTATTTGAGAAGTCACGCCGAACAAATCTCGAAGAGAAACGACAATGCAGAAAGAATCACAACCCCGAAACATCACCCAAGGAGTCCTTCTGCTGTGCTTTCTGCAACTGGACTTGTTTATCTCGGATTGGCCTTTTTAGTCATCAGCGCACTTGCAAAAAGTGTGGGATGAGTCCTTCCTGAATCTTCGTTTGCAAAGAAAAGCCAGAGAGAGAGAGATTGGAAGGGGTGTTTATTTTTTAATGGCATGCAAATTGCCTTGAGGATAATTGTGTTAAAAGGTGGTTGTGGGCCTGTTTAGACTTTAGTTCTCAGATTCTCCTTCCTGCTTGGGAAATTCTGTGAGTTTTAGTCTTAAAATGTAATTTTCCCAAGGTTTGGGTATGTAGCAAGTAACTGAGATTGCAGTGCAAATATATCACAAGCTTTAAAATGCCATCGGAATCAGTTGATGGTTGTGCTCCTGAGCACACTCATGAAGAAGGAAGTCCCACCAGGCATAGTAGGATTGTTTCTAAGTAGATGGGTTGGTGGGGCAGACGTGGCCTCCCCTTCTGTCTCTCCCAGCTGAGAAGATGTTTCTGCTGGGTGTTCTCAGGCTGCTGGGTGGTGTTCGTGAGGATCAAAAGATGTCTTTTCTTCCCTTTTTAGGGGTCCCAAGCCAGAAACCGAAGGAACAGCAGCGGAGCGTCTTGCGCCCGGCCGTGTTGCAAGCCCCCCAGCCCAAGGCTTTCTCACAAGCAGGCAAGTGAGCTGTTCGTACCAACTCCTTCGGCCAGCAGGCATCAAGGGAACATCCCCATGACTGACTGGCCAGTTTTCTCTTCCCTCTGACATTCTTACCAGTTGCAGGAGTGCTGCCTGATGCCCTCCATATGTTTTGGACTCTAGCGCCCACAGTTCTTTTACAGATATGCTTCCATTAATGAAGTAGATGCCTTCCTGGGAGTTACTTCTTTAACAGAAAATTTGGTACCAGAGGCAAAAATAACATGGAAAAGAATAGGTTAAGTTCCTATGCAGTTAAAAAAAAAAGAAGAGCACTTCAGTCTATTTCAGCAACCTTTTTGTTCAGAACTAACAATATGTGAAATGAAACAGCCAGGTTAGGTAAGCCATGCACTAGTAAATAAAATCATTTTGAACCTTCTAGAGAGCCAGCATGGCGCAGTGGTTTGAGCATTGGACTATGATTCTGGAGAACAGGGTTCAAGTCCCCACTTGGCCATAGAAACCCACTGGATGCCTTTGGGCAAATCACATGCTCTCAGCCTCAGAAGGAGGCAAAGGCAACCCCCCCTCTGAACAAATCTTGCCAAGAAATAACTCTTATAGGTTTGCCCTTAGGGTCGCCATAGGTTGGTAATATCTTGAAAGCACACAACAACAGGAAATAACTACTTGAAGGCTTCTTCCCAAATGCATCCAGGGATGATTTTTCACAAGCCTCCACTTTTCTTACCATTTACATTTTTGATGGTCAAATTTATAGGTCTCTGCCTTGTTTAACATGCTAGGCTAGGGGAAGCTAAAGTAGAATCCTGCTTTTTCCCAGCTCAAGCTTTATTGCATTGCTTCCTTCCTATAGATATGCGGCTGCAACCAAGCACTGAAAGTATGTGTATGTGATAAATACAGTTCCAGTTAGATAGAGGCAATGCTCACCTGGTGCCTCCATTCAGGTCTTTTTATTTCTTCTTTGTGGTCTCTGCGATTAACACAAATGGGTTTTGTCTGCGCATGCGCAGCTAGCTCGGAACCTTCTGGAATCACTAGACAGAAGTTGGATTGCAACTTTTTGGCGGTAGCTCTGCCCACCTCTATATAGGCTCTCACGTTCCCGCTCGATCCTCAGTTCCTTTCGTCTGCCGCTTTGCAGCTTGCAAGGAACTTCGTCACTAGTGCAGTTACTTGTTTAACAGTTTTTGACCCCTTTTTCGGCTTGACTATTCTTTGGATTGCGAATTATTGATCTAATAAATTGACCTCAGACCATTCTTGACTTTGTCTTCGACTACTCCTTCAACTTGGTGTTTCTGATCATAAACACGATTCGGACTACTCCTTGACTCTGCCTTCGCCTCATTCTCAACTCGACGACATGGCCTCCTTCAGACATTGTGTTTCTTGCAACTCTAAGTTGCGGAACCAGATCTTCAACCTTGCTCAACATCACACTTGGCATATGGGACTGGTGCATTGACCACAACATTCTCCTTCAGTCCATTCATCTCCCTGGACAGAAGAACGAACTTGCCGACATCCTCAGCAGGTCCTCCAATCCGTGCCACGAGTGGCGTCTCCACCCCAAGACAGTTTCCCATTTTTTCTCCCTCTGGGGGACCAGAGACATCGATCTGTTTGCCACGGAGGACAACACTCATTGCAAAGAGTTTTGTTTGAGGATACTGACCCGGACGTCTCAAGGCAATGCCTTCCAGTTCATGTGGTACGGAAGGAAGTTTTACGCGTTTCCTCCGTTTCCACTCATAACCAGAGTGCTCACCAAGATACGAACGGACAAGTCAGATGCCATCTTGATCACTCCATGGTGGCCGAGACAGCCTTGGTTCACGCCACTTCTTCATCTGTCTCAAGAAACCTACTACCGACTGGACTACCGTCCAGATATCCTCACGATGCTTGGGGGCAGAGTCCGCCATCCAGACCTGGACTTGCTACTTCTGGTAGTGTGGAGAATTCGACCTTAGACTCACTCCCAATTCATCTACAGACAATAATTAAAGCAGCCCAGAAGACCTCTACCAGAAGGTCCTACTCTTACAAGTGGAAGAAGTTCAGAGACTTCCTATCATCCAAAGGAATTCCTCTAGCCCGTGTCTCGGTACCGACAGTACTCGAATTTCTTCTTTCCCTCTCCGAATCAAGACTTTGCCTGGCTTTTATTAAATGCTACCTCTCCGCTATTTGTTCCCATTACCAGCTGGAGGGCAGACCATCTTTCTTCTCTGATCCTTTGGTCAAGAGATTTCTTAAAGGACTCAACAACCTACACCCGCCATCTTCGGTACCGACGCTGGCTTGGAGCCTGAACTTAGTACTGTCTTACCTTTCTACGAAACCCTTTGAGCCCATGGCTACTACTGCCATTAGACTCAACATGGAAAACAGCGTTCCTTGTAGCTTTGACTTCGG